TTGCTACACTAACCATAGCTTAATCATGGTATTTGTAGTAAAACTGTGGTTATACAATTATATTCCTCAGAAACGAGGTGGTAAAATCATTGTTTTTGAAGTACATCTTGTTTAGGGAGACGCACCGACGCAGGAAGGGTCACACAACTGTCATCTCTTAGGAAAATTAATCATGGTTTTACTACAAATAAAAACTCTGGTTACAATAGTTAAACCATGGTAACCCTGGTCTTGCTACACTAACCATAGCTTAATCATGGTATTTGTAGTAAAACTGTCGCAGGTATGCATTAAAACCATTTAATGCACAGGTAGTTCCAAGTCAGTTTAATCACCGTTCCATACTGCTTTACTGCTTTAATTGATGCACACAAACCCACACATATCACTCGCACCCACACACAGAGAGAGAGAGAGAGACAGAGAGAGAGAGAGAGACAATATTCGCGCACACAAACATGTCAACGCTGCCTCACGACTTTTATTAATAAAATTGCCTATATACTAGATCGTTATATTATATTCCTCAGAAACGAGGTGGTAAAATCATTGTTTTTGAAGTACATCTTGTTTAGGGAGACGCACCGACGCAGGAAGGGTCACACAACTGTCATCTCTTAGGAAAATTAATCATGGTTTTACTACAAATAAAAACTCTGGTTACAATAGTTAAACCATGGTAACCCTGGTCTTGCTACACTAACCATAGCTTAATCATGGTATTTGTAGTAAAACTGTCGTTATACAAATGGTAATCAATCCACCAAAAAAACATGGTTACTACACTTTTACTGTAATAAAACCATGTTTAATTTTCGTAAGGGATCTCTCTCTCTCTCGATTGATAATTAATTCAAATAAATGCTATAATTCATTCAAATGAATGTGATCTTAGCGCACTATTACATCTCTGTGTATGTCTGATTTGAAGCGGGCAGAATGCTAGCTCTAACGAGCCGCAACTGACAAAAAAAACATAATTTTTACCCTTCTTGTCAAATATTGCGCTGCGCGTCAGGTGGTTCTTGGCCTGACATACACTATGTAATTCAATGGCTGCGAGCAACTGTTTTCAGTTACCAACTTCCTTCAAAATGTCTTCTATGTTCAACAGAATAAAGAAACTGATACAGGTTTGGAACAACTAGAGGGTGAGTAAATGACAGTTCTCATTTTCGGGTGACCTATCCCATCTCCAAGATGGCATTGAATATTTCAATATGAACGCACACATTTCTTTCAAGACCAGTAAATAACTGTATTTTTGTTTCAATTTTTTTCTCATAAATTATTTCAGTAGAAACATCTTGATGCTTAAATAAAACATCTCCATTGAGTCTAGAGCTGAAGCTATGCCATTTTCCTCTGTGTCACCTGTCCTTTTTGAATAGCATGAGAGCTGCTATTGGCTGTGCGGGAGATATTGATCTGCACTCGTATCTCTATAGAACCGGACTGGGCATCATCTCTCTTTTAAAAAAGGTTAATTCACAGGCCACATCTGCGCAGCGTCTCAGCCTGTAGCCGCGGCAAACGTCGTCCTTTCTGGAGTCCGATGGCGCGAATGCAGATAGATTAGCGCATTCCTTCTCATCTAGGTTTGTGTTACAGGATCTCCAATATGTTTGCTGCGAGATTAGTTTCAGTATCACTGCATTGCATGGAAGAAGTGTGCTGTGACAGAGCCGCGCGGATTTCTAATCTTGTCTGTGCATAAATCCTCGCCTTATCTGGAACCTGCCTTCTCCTGCCAAAAACACTGAACCTTTACGATTAGAACCGGCCCTCTGCGAAACTATCCGTGGCCGTGCTGATAGAGCCGCTGTTGGGTTTTGAAAACAGGAGCTGTTCATTTTAAAGTGCCAGTCTGCTACAGCTGTCAGATTGAAAAGGTTCGGGTAATTTTAGAGGTGTCAGAATCAATTTCATAACATTGTCACTGATGCGTATTGGAGTGCTCCTCTATCTTTTTACACTCCTGGCTGATTTGGAATAAAAATATATTTTCCCTCACTATAATTCAAGAGTGTTTACATTGGGCTGGCTTGAGTTAATAACATTTTAGAGGGCTATTTTACACATTTTATGAGCACTAGATATTCAAAGACATGGAGCACTGTGTCAGCGTCAGAATCCATACTCCAACATTCCCGCCGTTTGCCAAGGCTCTTCTTCTCTGTCACCAAACAAGAGGTCTCCATTTTCCAAAGGCGTTTCACTAATTGAACGTGACATAATAAGGACACGTTCACAAGTGGGATAAATGGAGAGAGCAGACAGGAAGAGGAGATGACATGAGCCATGTTTATCATCGGAATGATTGATGTGTTTTCAAACCCTCTTGTCATGTAAACTGTTCCTGACAGTGCGTTCTCATAAAAGATCAAAAAATCTCAAGGCTTGATGAAAAATGACAAGACCCGATACACTATTTTCCTATCAGACACCGAAAGTGCACCGAAGGTTCAGTTTCAATGGAGCTTGAAATAGTATCATGCAAATTGCGCATCTCTCATTTGAAACTAAACAAATCATTTTCTCAGAAGTATGGTGAGAGCTGTAATATTCTCTTTCCACGCTGAACTCGTGCGTGCGCGCTCGATCGTAGCCTACCCCACGTGCGTGATGCGAATTCAGCCGGGGGATGTTCGACGGAATACGCCGGTTAACGCAAAATGACTCCAGACAGAAAATATGATGAAGATATAATTCTCAACTCTTGATTCTTATTCATTGGATTTCTCAGTGTGACTTCCAGACAATTTTGCATCAGAAAGAATTGCTATTTTCTCCCTGAAAGAAACCCCATTTTCAAAACACAGAAGTGCAAATGCAAATATAAATGGCACTGCCAAAATGCCAGAAGATTACATCATAATTTTCGCTTTTTGCTTGTTTATTCATAGTCCTAAGTGAAACAGGCAGAGCTGGGAGTGGGGATCAGACCACAATAGTCCAATGATTGAAAGCCAATTAGAGAGACACAACATCATCTACATTCTAGCCTACCTTCAGCCCCACTGTAAGCAATACTATCCTCAAAAGCTTCTGCCGTGCCGAACACACCCAACTATTTTCCGACAAGGACCTAAAGTTGCTGTCTTGGATCTGAATTTAGGACTGTGCAATTAATCGCATTCGATTGTCATGCGCATCTCGTCAGTAAAGCCGGTTCCATGATTGGTAGTAAATTGCCATCACCTGCTTTCAGATGGAGCGGCATTTAGGCAATTATCGCATTCATAATCGCAGATGAATCGCATTCGATTATGAACGCGATATTGCCTTGCTTGTCAGTGAACTATGGCTCTGTGTATTAAATGCCGCTTCATCTGAAAGCAGGTGATGGTGATTTACTACCAATCACGGAACCGGTTTTACTGACGGGATGCACTTGACAAATCGCATGTGATTAATTGCACAGCCCTATCTGAACTTATTTATTTTTCTGAGAAATCTGCGGGTGGCTGGGGAGAAATAAACAACCACTTGTGGCTCCTGATGAGAGTACCTTCACTAGCAATTACTCTCTAAATATAGCCAAAGCAAATTGCATGAATTAGACCGTTTCTCTGTGCAGCTCAAAAATAATCTACCTATTATGAAGGCCACTAAATCCGGAGTGAAAATTAATTGCTGTTCAGGATCAAACGGACCACACTGTACCGACCCTCTTGTAGGTGATGCCATAAAACAAATACGAAAAGAAAACCGTTTGGTGATATTCTTAGCTTTAATGTCTTTACCTCTTAACAGTATGTGTATATTGCCTTAGGTGGAGAGGTGTGTATAGCAGAAGACAGCATTCACATAGTGATATATAGAATTTAGCTTTTATTTCCACACAACCATGGTCAGTGGAAATTAAGTGACAGACAGCACACACTTTGTCCCTATGGAGTAATCTGGGGTTAAGTGCTTTGATCGATGGTAGGGTACAAGGGGCTAAAGGCCCCCCCCCCCCGAGGTAAAAGGCACTTTTGATTTTATTTTCTCCCAAAACACTTCATATAGCAGCAGCACAGCGACATTTTTCAGATCCATGAAGTCATGGAGTGCAATGGCAAAAGACTGATTGTCACGTAATTTGATCTAAAATATTGCAGTTTTATGAAGCTTTAGATGACAATATGTTATGAAAAACTAAAAGACATGAAATAGAAACAATACACTTTGTTCCTTAAAGGTATTCCCTGGAGAAAGCAATATTATGGATAGAGGACTTGTATTTTAGCCAGAAGCTTTGGTTTGAAGTTAAAAACATCTTAATGAATTTGTTTGTTACAAACATGCAGCTTTTCACTTCATAAGACATTAATTGATGGACTGGAGTCGTGTGGATTACTGTGATGTTTTTATCAGCTGTTTGGACTCTTATTCTGATGGAACCCATTCACTGTAGAGGATCCTTCGGTGAGCAAACGTTGTCATGCTAAATTGCTCCAAATCTGTTCCCATAAAGAAACAAACTCGTCTTGGATGGCCTGAGGGTGAGCACATTTTCAGAAAAAAAATATTTTTGGGTGAACTACTATAAGTAGGTCTTTTAGCTTATTGTACCCCATTAAAGCACACCGATCATCCTTTGCAAAATAAACTGCGAAAACTTATGACTGCAGCATTTATTCTTGAAACAGAGATGAGCAGATAAATGTCATACACTCTTAAAAATTAAGGTGCTTCACGATGCCATAGAAGAACATTTTTGTCTAAATGGTTCCATAAAGAACCTTTAACATCTGAAGAACCTTTCTGTTTCACAAAAGGTTCTTTGTGGCGAAAGAAGGTTCTTCAGATTACAAAAAGGTAAGAAAGAGATGGTTCTTTAAAGAACCTTTGACTGAATGGTTCTTTGTGGAACCAAAAATGGTTCTTCTATGGCATCGCTTGAAGAACCTTTTGAAGCACCTTTATTTGTAAGAGTGTAGTGAGATCTTAACAGTATGAGTTCTCTCACAATAGTGCAAATAAACGCTGGGTGTTTACACATAACTCACAACTCACACATAACATAAAAGACAAATATGTTCGAGAAAATTGAGGTTTGTTGAAGAAAATATCTTGCTAAGACCCTGTGAGATAAACCCCAGACACAGTTTGCTCACAAAAGTTGCTTTATTTAAAGCTACTTTTATCAAGTTGATGCAAGCTATAGGTGTTAGGTTAGTAAAATAAGACTTTTTCAATTTCTTCATCTGGGTTTCTGACTGTGGGGTGCGACGCTGCATAGCTCGGGAACAAAAGCCTTTCCTCAGTACAAACAGCAGTTCATTCGTCTCTGAAAAGCCTCTGTTCAATAATGTGAACGTGGCTAATGGAAGCGTTCCCTTCCACATTCGCATCAAAACGCTCCCAGGTGGAGCGGCTCAACCAGCACTGATGTGAGAAAAATGTTCCCTGTCTTTCAAAACAATCTACATAATTTACCCAACTCACTAGATCTGTTTAATATTGATGTGGTTTGGAATTTTGTGGGAAAGGGTTTATTGATGTGTGTGTCAATGAGACAGAAACGGAGGAGCTCTGTAAAGTAAACACAAAGGTTTGGAGTTAAACATCAACACCGTCTTAGAATGTCAGAGACAGTATCACGGTGACATCTTTATGTTTTTAACTTATGCTTTCTTAGAACTGTTTCTAGATACTTTTTTGCCTGTCTTGGGCATGGAACATACCTCACAATAATACACAGAAGCAAATGCTTAGACAGTACATACTTCTGTATAATCTGAAAACTGTAGGGGTCTATAGAGTTACCTTCAAATATCTTGAAAGGGATAGTTCAGCCAAAAATGAACATTCTGTCATCATTTACTCACCTTCATGTTATTTCAAAATGCATGTCTGACTTTCTTCTGTGAAACATAAAATGAAGATATTTTAGGGAATACCTCAGTGGGTGTTTTTTTTTTTTTTGGTCCATACAATGGAAGTCAATAGGCTCCAGTGTTGTTTGGTTCCCAACGTTCCTCACAATTTTTCATGTTCTGAAGAAGAAAGTAAGTCATACAAGTTTAGAATGACATGAGGGTGAATAAACTGTGACAGAATTTTTGGCTGAACTATACCTTTCAACTTGCACCGTCTCAACAAGCAGCTGACAGGGTTGTGCACCATCCAGAAATGAATTGAATATGAACTGAGGAAGCAAAAAGAATTGCAAGTGGAATTTAAATGCAGGGAAGTTTGAATAATGTTTTTTTTTTAAAGTTGTTCTGAAAAATGTTTTTAAAAATGGAAGGCTTATATAAGAGAATGATTTCTCTTTCTGTCATTCCAATTCAATTCATATTCTGAGGGCCTTTCCCAGTACCCATAGTCTTGGCCACTTGAGAGCGCATGCACATTACAAAAAGTGTGCAAGACTGTCCCAGGACTGAAAATTTCAAAATTTCACAGCCCCAAACCCCCCCCCAGGTTCCATTGTCAATAGCTTTTATCAAGTTGATACATGTACCTTCAACATACCTTCAACATACTTTGGCCCTGTTTACACCCAGGGACTGTTTCAAAAAAGACGCTAAGAAAAGCGGGGATTAAAGTCCTGACTTGAAATAACCTAACAAATCAATCAGGGCTAAAGCGGTTCCATAAAAGGACTATTTAAGTTCATGCAATCTCACTAATTTGATCCAGGTTCAGGGAGTCAGGATAATTTGATGTGCACGCTTCTTAAGCAGCCCTTAATATCGATCATGGATCAAACTGATCTACCATGGCAAACAGTGAATATATTTGTGCTGTTTAATGCATTTGAGACATTGGGCCCTATCATACATGTGGCGCAAGTGTTTTTGCTAGTTTCAGCCCGACGCAGTTCTCATTTTCCCATCCTGCACCACGTTGTTTAAATAGCAAATGCATTTGTGCATTGTCTGTAATCACCCAGAACAAACTCTATCAACCATATACTCTAGCAACACCGCAGCAACTGCATAGCAAGAGCCTAGCAACCACCCAGAATATCCTAGCAACACTTTAGCAAACATCTAGAACATCTAACTGACCAAACCATTTCCGTTTTTTAAACAAGACTTTAAGACAAGCCAGCATAAATTTGTCTTTCAAACTTTTCAATCTAGTTATTACAGTTTTTCTTACAGGTTTTTTTTTTCCAACTTCTTACATTTTCAAAACGTTGCCTCTTTTTTTTCTTCAAAACTTTACACACAAATCCAAGAATTGCACACACAAAATGCCTCACATCTCTTGCAAAATGAAGCACTGCATTCAAAATATCACAAACACATCTCAAAAGCAAACATCTGCACACACCTTTGCAATAATATTAATCCCTGTTAGATTTTTGTGTGTTACATAGAGAATTGTGTGTTGCGTTTTGCAAAAAGTGTTTTATGAAATTGAAAACGGAGTCAAAGGCTGAGAATTAGTGTATGGTATGGTTTTGCAGATTTGGTGTGTGGTTCTGGTGTTTGAGTGTCAGGTTTCAGAAATTGTGTGACAAGTAAAGATTTTGTGTGTAAGCAGCTGGAAAAACTGTAAACGCTTACACAATTCAAATACACAGATGACTTTCCTGCCCAGTGAACACTGAGATCAATAACACTGTAACAACTCTTACTAGGATTCAGGAATTATTTTTGCAGCTCAATGTCTATTACAGTTTACATAAATTAAATTACATATACAGATGTATAATTCAGCAATGAACTTTTGGGGAAAAAATCATTTTCATTTTACTACTGTAAAGTAATCTTGCAGTAGATGAAAAGCACTAGAAAAGTTCAAATACCAAAGAATTGTATGAACTTGGCATGCACCACAATACAGTACAGTAAAAAAAATAAATATGTAAATTTAGCATCATCTGCACATTTGGCCAAATTTCATTACAGTATCCAGTACTATAGCAGTTTCTTGGTCTCCTGACACAAGACAAGCTATATCTCTAGGCAGTCATTTCTCAGTTCTGCAAAAATGAAGTACACCACAAAAAATGGTTACAAATAAAATTTGACAGTCACACGCTTGAAGGTGTACAACACGAGCTAGTTTACTGTACATATAGAATAGTGAAATTTCAATTATCTAATGTACTGGTACTGTAATTAGGCCTATACTGTATGTGTAAGTATATAAACCCCTGTAGATGATTGGCTCAGCTCTCTCCTCTCTCCGTTGTTAGGATGCAGAGATTCTGATTGGCGTGTCATCAGTTTTGCTACCTAATGTTTAACTTACTCATTGTTAAACTTTTTGAGAAATGTGTCTTTGTTTTGAAAACTGAATTAATGGTTTGGGGGGGAAAAGTGCCAACTAAAATCAGTTATATTAACAATCGAGGAAACTGCAATACGACTAGATTCTTTTACAATTTACAAGTACAATTTACATATGTGGTTTCAACAACCAGATGCATTTACACTTGTCCAGTTTCGTCTGGAATGCGGCCCAGAGACAACCTCCTGAAGTGGTTTGAGCAATCGAATTAAATCCACCTTGAAACCGTTTCCCTCTGGGCCTCTTCGTTAATTTTTGGCCGAAAAATTTTATGTTTTGAAATTGTAAAAATCGCACGCAAACAGGTTTGTATTTATGGTTTATGGGGACATCCCATAGGCTTAATGGTTTTTATACTGTACAAACCGTATTTTCTATTGCCCTACACCAACCCTACCCCTAAACCTACCCCTCACAGGAAACGTTCTGCATTTTTAGATTTTCAAAAAAACTCATTCTGAATTATTTATAAGTACACTCTTAAAAATAAAGGTGCTTCACGATGCCATAGAAGAACCTTTTTGTCTAAATGGTTCCATAAAGAACCTTTAACATCTGAAGAACCTTTCTGTTTCACAAAAGGTTCTTTGTGGCGAAAGAAGGTTCTTCAGATTACAAAAAGGTAAGAAAGAGATGGTTCTTTAAAGAACCTTTGACTGAATGGTTCTTTGTGGAACCAAAAATGGTTCTTCTATGGCATCGCTTGAAGAACCTTTTGAAGCACCTTTATTTGTAAGAGTGTAGTGAGATCTTAACAGTATGAGTTCTCTCACAATAGTGCAAATAAACGCTGGGTGTTTACACATAACTCACAACTCACACATAACATAAAAGACAAATATGTTCGAGAAAATTGAGGTTTGTTGAAGAAAATATCTTGCTAAGACCCTGTGAGATAAACCCCAGACACAGTTTGCTCACAAAAGTTGCTTTATTTAAAGCTACTTTTATCAAGTTGATGCAAGCTATAGGTGTTAGGTTAGTAAAATAAGACTTTTTCAATTTCTTCATCTGGGTTTCTGACTGTGGGGTGCGACGCTGCATAGCTCGGGAACAAAAGCCTTTCCTCAGTACAAACAGCAGTTCATTCGTCTCTGAAAAGCCTCTGTTCAATAATGTGAACGTGGCTAATGGAAGCGTTCCCTTCCACATTCGCATCAAAACGCTCCCAGGTGGAGCGGCTCAACCAGCACTGATGTGAGAAAAATGTTCCCTGTCTTTCAAAACAATCTACATAATTTACCCAACTCACTAGATCTGTTTAATATTGATGTGGTTTGGAATTTTGTGGGAAAGGGTTTATTGATGTGTGTGTCAATGAGACAGAAACGGAGGAGCTCTGTAAAGTAAACACAAAGGTTTGGAGTTAAACATCAACACCGTCTTAGAATGTCAGAGACAGTATCACGGTGACATCTTTATGTTTTTAACTTATGCTTTCTTAGAACTGTTTCTAGATACTTTTTTGCCTGTCTTGGGCATGGAACATACCTCACAATAATACACAGAAGCAAATGCTTAGACAGTACATACTTCTGTATAATCTCAAAACTGTAGGGGTCTATAGAGTTACCTTCAAATATCTTGAAAGGGATAGTTCAGCCAAAAATGAACATTCTGTCATCATTTACTCACCTTCATGTTATTTCAAAATGCATGTCTGACTTTCTTCTGTGAAACATAAAATGAAGATATTTTAGGGAATACCTCATTTTAGGGAAGTCAATAGGCTCCAGTGTTGTTTGGTTCCCAACGTTCCTCACAATTTTTCATGTTCTGAAGAAGAAAGTAAGTCATACAAGTTTGGAATGACATGAGGGTGAATAAACTGTGACAGAATTTTTGGCTGAACTATACCTTTCAACTTGGCAGGGTTGTGCACCATCCAGAAATGAATTGAATATGAACTGAGGAAGCAAAAAGAATTGCAAGTGGAATTAAAATGCAGGGAAGTTTGAATAATGTTTTTTTTTTTAAGTTGTTCTGAAAAATGTTTTTAAAAATGGAAGGCTTATATAAGAGAATGATTTCTCTTTCTGTCATTCCAATTCAATTCATATTCTGAGGGCCTTTCCCAGTACCCATAGTCTTGGCCACTTGAGAGCGCATGCACATTACAAAAAGTGTGCAAGACTGTCCCAGGACTGAAAAAGCACATTAGTGATATAGCGATATTTCAACAAAATTTCACAGCCCCAAACCCCCCCCAGGTTCCATTGTCAATAGCTTTTATCAAGTTGATACCAACTATACCTTCAACATACTTTGGGAGTTCTGCAAAAATGAAGTACACCACAAAAAATGGTTACAAATAAAATTTGACAGTCACACGCTTGAAGGTGTACAACACGAGCTAGTTTACTGTACATATAGAATAGTGAAATTTCAATTATCTAATGTACTGGTACTGTAATTAGGCCTATACTGTATGTGTAAGTATATAAACCCCTGTAGATGATTGGCTCAGCTCTCTCCTCTCTCCGTTGTTAGGATGCAGAGATTCTGATTGGCGTGTCATCAGTTTTGCTACCTAATGTTTAACTTACTCATTGTTAAACTTTTTGAGAAATGTGTCTTTGTTTTGAAAACTGAATTAATGGTTTGGGGGGGAAAAGTGCCAACTAAAATCAGTTATATTAACAATCGAGGAAACTGCAATACGACTAGATTCTTTTACAATTTACAAGTACAATTTACATATGTGGTTTCAACAACCAGATGCATTTACACTTGTCCAGTTTCGTCTGGAATGCGGCCCAGAGACAACCTCCTGAAGTGGTTTGAGCAATCGAATTAAATCCACCTTGAAACCGTTTCCCTCTGGGCCTCTTCGTTAATTTTTGGCCGAAAAATTTTATGTTTTGAAATTGTAAAAATCGCACGCAAACAGGTTTGTATTTATGGTTTATGGGGACATCCCATAGGCTTAATGGTTTTTATACTGTACAAACCGTATTTTCTATTGCCCTACACCAACCCTACCCCTAAACCTACCCCTCACAGGAAACGTTCTGCATTTTTAGATTTTCAAAAAAACTCATTCTGAATTATTTATAAGCCTTTTTAATTACGGGGGCACTGAAAATGTCCTCATAAATCACCTTCTCATTGTAATACCTATGGTTGTAATACCTATGTCATACCCATGTTATTATACAAATTTGTGTCCTCATAAACCACATAAACATGCACACACACACACACATACATACATACATACATACACACAGAACCTGATACTTATCTAACCAAAAATATCTAAACCTTGACAAAACGTAGTCTTTTAGAATGTCTAAATATATATCTAAATGCAAAACCTGATTAAATAAAGAAATTATGTCTAAAAAAACAAAGGGAATCTAAAAGCTTCTGTATATATTGATATAGGGAGTTATACAGGAGGTTATGCTACATTACGGGGTTTTTTTACGCCTCCAGATGGCAGAATTCTCACTTCAAAAAATGGATTTTAAACGCCTTCACACTATTTTAATGTGAAATATTGTATCTATTAAAAAAATTATACAGAAATGAAGAAATAAAAAAATATATTAATTCTAATGGAAAAAATAGGTCATTAAACTTTTATAAATATTGCATAGTACCATAAACATCCCTCAAAATTATAAATAAGAATCAAAAAATATTATTGAACAAAAATGTATTACATTGATTTTCCTGAAAGAAAAAGAAAAAAAAGTTACTTTTTGAGGCTTCGGTCACTTTTGACCGCGAAGGAGACAAAAGTGACTCCCAAACGAAGAGGCCCAGAGGGTTAAGCCCAAAACACACTGCACGATTTTCGGCTGTCCCAGATGAAAGACTGGCATCATGAAACAAACGCGGTGATTTCTGTGATCGTGGCTCCTGATCGGTGGTCCTGTGTCATACAGTGAGAGAAGTTCAAAGGCGGCCGTTGTCACGGTCTTGCGACCAAAGACAGCCTACGATTATTTTCTGACTGTGTCAGTGTTTGCTGCTACGATCTACGTTTACTGACCAGCCAATAAAAAAGCGATATGAAATCAAGACACGGCGACAAAACATAAAACTGCTTACCTCAAGCTCTTATGCCTTCCTCTTTCACCACTTCCACTTTTTTTCAGCACACATGAAAACTTCAACTACTAAAGTGTGTTTCATGCTCTTTTTGTTTACCACTAGCACATGCTGATGACGTTTTATTCTTCTATAGTAGTTAGCATGTTGTAACCGAGTATATTAGACGCACGTGACGTCGCACAGTGTGATCTGCAATGATCTTCTAGGATTGCTAAAATCGTGGTCTTTTCACAATCGGATAGCTATCCAATCGGAGAAAATGCATTAAGTGACCAGGTGTAAACAGGCCCTTTGTCTATAACAAAAATGTAAGATGATATGTTTCGGCAGACTTTCAAAATTACATTTGGCTTAATAAAACAAAAATATACAGTTACGACTTTTTTCATTTGATTTAGTTACGCTGGATTTGCATCAAATACAAGATGATTTTCGGTAATCAAAATCTGGCAGCAACAGCACAATTTTACGCTTGGGCAAGAAATTCACAGACATCTATTCTTGCTCATGAAATCAACCTCATGCCAATAAACCAATGATGAGAAACCGCAACAGAAATGGTGATTCATAGCAATAAAGCACAGGCACCAAAGCTGTTGTGGATCCATTCACATGAATCCCTCTGTAACTGGTACAGATTGGCAAAAGATGAATGCCATGTGGCATATAAATTATTTATGGATAGTTACATACCTATTCCCAACATTTTATCATGTAAGCCTTATGCTACACCTTAAATGACAAGGGAATTAGAAGTAATGTTAATATTTAGCCAGTCCCTGAACTCATTCTCTCAAATGATTTGAGTATGCTGAGCATTCCCAGCTTATTTAGACAGAACACTCCTTGTAAGTGGTCAAGTGCAAAAACAGCAAGTGTGGATATTGGGACAGATAGTTTCACACTCATTAATTCTGTCTTATTTATACTATAGCACCCCTTGTGGTGGTCTGACATGTTCCAGATCTCAACAAGTCACAAATTCGAGCTCACGTACCTGTCTCATGTCCTTGTGTAGATTACGTTTTCAGGCCTTAACTGTCGAAAAGCATGTTAATGCTGTTTAAGGTGACCGAGGGAGTAATTATCACTCTAAACAGCCATTGAGCGTTCATGCAGAGCCGCGTGAGCATCGCACCCGCCTCGGTGTGATCTTCATCTCAATTAACTCCTCCCCTGTCATCAGTGCTCTAATTATGACAACCAGGTGCAAACAGCATGTAATCCTGTTTGTCACTCCCTGATCGGGGTTTTCAAACCTCTCATATTTATCATGTGAGCTGGAAGGGGAGGTGAGTTTTTGTAAGCCTCTGTGCCTGGGGCAAACGCAGGTGGGAAGGAGAGTGAAAAGAATCACACATGTGCGCCGATGCCCTTTTCCCCGGTGGGCTTCGTCCCCTGAATTATTCTTCTGTGTGACGACTGTCATGAGCCACGTGGTGGTGGCAAGGGCCAGCCTTTGATCCTTGTGACGTGCATCAGGAGAGATCCACTGAGACGGGCACATGATAGTCAGCTCTCCGGCGAGTGTGTGTTTTTGGGGTTTGTGGGGGGCTCAGGATGGGAGGAAGGGCTGACAGTGGCCTCTTTTCCCTGCAAGCCTCGGGCCTGGTGCAGAACATACATGAATAAATCAACATGCTCTAAAAGAGGACACGCGCACAACTTCAAATCAAGCTTCTAAAGTTTGGCACATTTTTTCGATCTGCAGTGCATGTTTGCTTCCTTCTCATTTCATTGAGTTGTCATTTGCTGGCGTTACTTATGCCTAACTCAACATATTTTTACAAGCTAGAATACATCCTGCCATTCAACCATTGGCTAATATGATAATTTACACTACTTTTCATTAAGAAATTAATGATTTTATTCAGCAAGGATGCATTAAATTGATCAAAAGTGACAGTTGAGACATTTGTAGTGTTACAAAATATTTTATTTCAAATAAATGTTTCATCAAAGAATCCTGTTTCCTCCTAAATATTAAGCAGCACAACTGTTTTCAACATTGCTAATAATCATAAATGTTTCTTGAGCACCAAATCAGCATATTAGAATGATTTCTGAAGGATCATGCTTTACAACAGATGATTTAAACTGTAATGATTTAAACTGTAATAATATTTCACATTATTAGTGTAACCCTGGGTAAATTAAGCCTTTGCATTATTTCTAGTGTGATTAATCCCTGTGTGTTTTGATTGTAGACATTCACGTTTAAAGGGGTCATATGCTGCTGCTAAAAAGAACATTATTTTGTGTATTTGGTGTAATGAAATGTGTTTATGCAGTTTAAAGTTCAAAAAACACATTATTTTCCACATACTGTACATTATTGTTTCTCCTCTATGCCCTGCCTTTTTGAAACGCGTAGATTTTTACAACGCTCATTGGTCTGAAAATGCGAGGGGTGCTGTGATTGGCCAGCTATCCAGTGCGTTGTGATTGACCGAATACCTCAAGCGTATGACGGAAATGTTACGCCCCTCACATACTGTTGATGCCGTGTCTGGCCGGAGCAATGAGACAAAAACATTAAAACCCATTACAAACGAGGCATTTGTTGCATCCAGTGGGGACATAATTACTGATTATAATGACTTATACAGTCTTTTTACGCGTTGCGTTGCATTGCATCGCGCCGCGTAAACATAAAACTCTGTCTGCATTTGTGATCGGAGAAATGACAAACAACAAGTGCTACTCTACTGCCCAAAACTCGTGTTTGAATCATCAGTGGCAAATCCTTTAAATGAAAACGTACTTACGTGAGTCAGAACTGCCGGCATTGTAGTCTAACGTTACTCTCCCAGGATCAGTAAACAGTCCTCCATAAAATGTGCTGCACACATCTGGATATTTGGGTTAAACTGTTCTGGAACAGTGTTGTAAATACAACTTAACCACTGATTTGTAGTCGTGTCCTCTTTTGGAAGACCAAACAAAGTAGTTTCGCTTTCACAACGACGCACACAGCGTCTTCACGACATGGCTGCAGCATCAACAATACTACAGTGAGAATAAAAGTTACGCCTTCTTTCTTTGCGTGAATATTTGGGCGGCGTTATGCAAATCTTCCCACATAGTGAGGTAGATATGTGGGGGCGTGTTAGAACGAGCCATTTTAGGTAGGTGTGGCTGGCTCTGAACTTTTATAAAGAATATCTCTTTGGATTTGAGACTTTAGTCTTTGCAACTTTACAGATCTTCTTTATGCACCAAGAGCTTGTAACACTCCAAAGAGAAAGGAAAAATTTAAATCGCATCATATGACCACTTTAAGTTCGTTATTGTGTTTATTTTTAAGAGTGGTCACCTATATAACCTTCAGTATGCAAATATGGGTAGGCAAAATCATTCGTTTTGATCGGTTTGTAAATGTAATGGTCCCACCCCCTTAACTGGTTGGTGGATTCTGATTGGTGGATAAAGATCCTTTTTAAGGGGAGAACCGTTGAATGGGAGGGGGAGAAGAGAGAGAGAAGACTCGAGTTTCGTTTGATCCGCGATTGTTACAGTGTCTTAATCTTGCTATTTTGTTATAAAGTAGGTGTTTTCAGCAAGAAAACATCTGGAAGCCAGTTGTTACAGTGTCTATTTATTGACATTTATATGTTTATTGAGATTTGACTATTTATTTATTCACTTATTTATTTTGATAATAAAACATTATAGTTTTTATTCTTACCCATACTTACCTGAGGCCTGTACCATGATGGTAAATGAACAAATTCAGAGTTACAGGATTAGTTTCGAGTTGACAAAAGCAAACCACTCCGATCCGGCTTTGTTGATACCATGATGCTGATCATCAACTTTCTTTGTCAACTCAGGCTTTGATCCTGAGTTTGTGGAGCAGGTGCACATGAATGTGTGACATCACTGGCGAATAGCCAATCACGAGCCTTGGTTAAAGGTTATTGGTTTTGCTAAAGGTTAAGAGATTGGAGAATATGATGAATTTAAATGCATTTACAATGAAAAAAGTACTTGTTTATGAAAGAGGACAAATAAAAGAAAATATCTTGCTTTATCAGTGCAGTCACAAGTGAAATTGTTATACAGCGATAGAGACTCGAACATGTCATTTTTAAAGCATTATCTATTGATTCTACAGCTTATTTATATTACATATTACATACATGGAATAATATAAATCATATAATTATATAAATCATATAAAATAACTCTAAGTAATTATCATTAAAGCCAGACATTTTTTTAGTACTAACCTTTAATTTGGAGCAAGTTAAACTGAGGGAGTGACATTTTTGTGTCAGACATGTGTCACTTTGCTCACATCTGATTGGTCCAATTTCAGTTTGAGCTCTCTAACTCAGAACATAACCTGCCCCCAAGCAGGTTAGCCGTGGAGTGTAAGTTACTATGGCAATGAACGCTGCTAAAAGCCAAGCCACTTTCATGGTACCTAAAACCCAGGATTTGTGCAAACTAAACTGAAACTTACCTGGCTAGCCAGCTAATCCGGCTTCATGGTACAGGCCCCTGGTGTATTTACCTGGATTCACCATACTTACCTGTAGGCTTAGCTTGTAAATAGTAGTAATACCAGAGGTGTGTAATAGTTTATATAACTAGTTGAGAGACATATCACCAGAACCCAGTACTCCACCCTAAACAGAACTTGAGAGCCGTAACTCTCGAGAAGGCAGGGGGCGCTACATTGGTGTTTTATGTTTGATCAAATAAATCCAACCTTAGTGGGCATAAGAGACTTCTTTCAAAAACATTTCAAAAGCTAATATCATTAAAAAAATTTAAAAAAATTATAATAATAATAATAAACTTTTGAATGGTAGTTTATTTAGCTAATTAATATGATGTTGATTTGTGTCTTCAAAAAAAGATTTACCTTAATTTTCATAATGAAAACCCAGGTATCAATTCCATACTGAGGAAAGGCATAATTCATGTTAATTCATTAAGACCTTCATTACCATTGCTACTGTATAGTTACTGTACCTTTCAGTCTCTCTCTTGTGATTAATTTAGCTACAACATGATCTCTGAGCAAATCTGTGTTCTGAAGAAAACCAAGTAAATTAGTTGTTTTCATCCACACTACTTCTGTTCACACATTTCAGCATTCACACTGCCAACAACAATTGATTATGATCAACACCAATTAACTTCCAACTCGATTCTTAAATTGACATACTGCCAACAAATCCTCCTGATTTCCTGCTGCTAATCACAAGATTGTGATGGTGTTCACATGTTTGTATTTTGTAAATACAATCATTCATGGCCCAAAAATAAAACTCTTCAAGGATGTAGCCTCAGTTCTAATTATTCAACTTGATGTGTTGCAACCAATCAGATTCCTCTCAGTTTGACTGATAATAAAAAAGCTTCTCATATTTCTTCCCCAACTTCTGCTTGACAAAGATGACACTGATTTCACCAAAAGCAAGGGGTTTAAATTGGAGGCCTATACCTATTTGGAGCAGTTTGAGGCTTCCCGTGTTGTTCTATTGTCAGCTTTAATTGGCTCTGTGCTCCTATGGCTGCTTGTCCTTTTACTGCTCAAATTTAGGAACTCTATCCTCTGTGTGAGAGAGACACCCACATTGTTGCTGGTACTGGCGGGGTAACAAGCCCCTTTCCCATCTGAAGAAAATGTTACTGTGTGTCTAGACCCTGGAGAGCAGAGACCGAGACAACGAGCTTTTGTACCAGGATCATGGCGCTGTGGTGGGGTTTTTCACCTTCTCATTTGAACACAGGCATATTTCGTTTGGAACTTGCCTGTAATTTATCTGGAACAGCCTGTTATAAATAGGTTGTGGCTTACCTTCCTATTCTCCTGTTTTACCCACTGTCAATTTATTAATCTAAAATGGTCTCTTTAAAAAAAAAAAAGTCACGTATATCATATATATCAGGATTATCTATTCATCCATCTTTCCATCCTTCCTTCCTTCCTTCCTTCAGTATGACAGTCCTGCATAGAAAAATTAAATTTTTTAAATATAGCGAATCTGACAGAAAGACAAGTTAAGTTTTAGTTAACACAAGCCCCATAACTGACAGTCAGACAGGTAAATAACACATTCGAGTCTAAACTCTTATATTTAAGGTGGAATTTCAAACAGGCGATTAGAGGAGC